GCTGTGTATCATCAGGAGACATGGAGATGTACAGCTGTGTGTCATCAGGAGACATGGAGATGTACAGCTGTGTATCATCAGGAGATGTACAGCTGTGTATCATCAGGAGACGTACAGCTGTGTATAATCAGGAGACATGGAGATGTACAGCTGTGTGTCATCAGGAGACATGGAGATGTACAGCTGTGTATCATCAGGAGACATGGAGATGTACAGCTGTGTATCATCAGAGACATGGAGATGTACAGCTGTGTATCATCAGAGACATGGAGATGTACAGCTGTGTATCATCAGGAGACATGGAGATGTACAGCTGTGTATCATCAGGAGATGTAGAGCTGTGTATCATCAGGAGACGTACAGCTGTGTATCATCAGAGACATGGAGATGTACAGCTGTGTATCATCAGGAGATGTAGAGCTGTGTATCATCAGGAGACGTACAGCTGTGTATCATCAGAGACATGGAGATGTACAGCTGTGTGTCATCAGGAGACATGGAGCTGTACAGCTGTGTATCATCAGAGACATGGAGATGTACAGCTGTGTATCAGAGACATGGAGATGTACAGCTCTGTATCATCAGGAGACATGGAGATGTACAGCTGTGTCTCATCAGGAGATGTACAGCTGTGTATCATCAGGAGATGTAAAGCTGTGTATCATCAGGAGATGTACAGCTGTGTATCATCAGGAGATGTACAGCTGTGTCTCATCAGGAGACATGGAGATGTACAGCTGTGTCTCATCAGGAGACATGGAGATGTACAGCTGTGTATCATCAGAGACATGGATATGTACAGCTGTGTATCATCAGGAGACATGGAGATGTACAGCTGTGTCTCATCAGGAGACATGGAGATGTACAGCTGTGTATCATCAGAGACATGGAGATGTACAGCTGTGTCTCATCAGGAGACATGGAGATGTACAGCTGTGTATCATCAGAGACATGGAGATGTACAGCTGTGTATCATCAGGAGATGTACAGCTGTGTATCATCAGGAGACATGGAGATGTACAGCTGTGTGTCATCAGGAGATGTACAGCTGTGTATCATCAGGAGATGTGCAGCTGTGTATCATCAGGAGACATGGAGATGTACAGCTGTGTGTCATCAGGAGACATGGAGATGTACAGCTGTGTATCATCAGAGATGGAGATGTACAGCTGTGTATCATCAGGAGACATGGAGATGTACAGCTGTGTATCATCAGAGACATGGAGATGTACAGCTGTGTATCATCAGAGACATGGAGATGTACAGCTGTGTATCATCAGGAGACATGGAGATGTACAGCTGTGTCTCATCAGAGAGAGATGTAAAGCTGTGTATCATCAGGAGAGTACAGCTGTGTATCATCAGGAGAGTCAGGAGACATGGAGATGTACAGCTGTGTATCATCAGAGACATGGAGATGTACAGCTGTGTGTCATCAGGAGACATGGAGATGTACAGCTGTGTATCATCAGGAGACATGGAGATGTACAGCTGTGTATCATCAGGAGACATGGAGATGTACAGCTGTGTATCATCAGGAGATGTACAGCTGTGTATCATCAGGAGATGTACAGCTGTGTATCATCAGGAGACATGGAGATGTACAGCTGTGTATCATCAGAGACATGGAGATGTACAGCTGTGTATCATCAGAGACATGGAGATGTACAGCTGTGTATCATCAGAGACATGGAGATGTACAGCTGTGTATCATCAGGAGATGTACAGCTGTGTATCATCAGGAGATGTACAGCTGTGTATCATCAGAGACATGGAGATGTACAGCTGTGTATCATCAGGAAACATGAGATGTACAGCTGTGTATCAGAGACAGGAGATGTACAGCTGTGTATCATCAGAGACATGGAGATGTACAGCTGTGTGTCATCAGAGACATGGAGATGTACAGCTGTGTATCATCAGAGACATGGAGATGTACAGCTGTGTATCAGAGACATGGAGATGTACAGCTCTGTATCATCAGGAGACATGGAGATGTACAGCTGTGTCTCATCAGGAGATGTACAGCTGTGTATCATCAGGAGATGTAAAGCTGTGTATCATCAGGAGATGTACAGCTGTGTCTCATCAGGAGACATGGAGATGTACAGCTGTGTATCATCAGGAGACATGGAGATGTACAGCTGTGTATCATCAGAGACATGGATATGTACAGCTGTGTATCATCAGGAGACATGGAGATGTACAGCTGTGTCTCATCAGGAGACATGGAGATGTACAGCTGTGTATCATCAGAGACATGGAGATGTACAGCTGTGTCTCATCAGGAGACATGGAGATGTACAGCTGTGTATCATCAGAGACATGGAGATGTACAGCTGTGTGTCATCAGGACATGGAGATGTACAGCTGTGTATCATCAGGAGATGTACAGCTGTGTATCATCAGGAGACATGGAGATGTACAGCTGTGTATCATCAGGAGATGTACAGCACACAGCTGTGTATCATCAGGAGATGTGCAGCTGTGTATCATCAGGAGACATGGAGATGTACAGCTGTGTGTCATCAGGAGACATGGAGATGTACAGCTGTGTATCATCAGGAGATGTACAGCTGTGTGTCATCAGGAGATGTACAGCTCTGTGTCATCAGGAGATGTACAGCTGTGTATCATCAGGAGACATGGAGATGTACAGCTGTGTATCATCAGAGACATGGAGATGTACAGCTGTGTATCATCAGAGACATGGAGATGTACAGCTGTGTATCATCAGGAGACATGGAGATGTACAGCTGTGTCTCATCAGGAGATGTAAAGCCGTGTATCATCAGGAGATGTACAGCTGTGTATCATCAGAGACATGGAGATGTACAGCTGTGTATCATCAGAGACATGGAGATGTACAGCTGTGTGTCATCAGGAGATGTACAGCTGTGTGTCATCAGGAGACATGGAGATGTGCAGCTGTGTATCATCAGAGACATGGAGATGTACAGCTGTGTATCATCAGGAGACATGGAGATGTACAGCTGTGTATCATCAGAGACATGGAGATGTACAGCTGTATATCATCAGAGACATGGAGATGTACAGCTGTGTGTCATCAGAGACATGGAGATGTACAGCTGTGTGTCATCAGGAGATTTACAGCTGTGTATCATCAGGAGATGTACAGCTGTGTATCATCAGGAGACATGGAGATGTACAGCTGTGTATCATCAGACATGAGATGTACAGCTGTGTATCATCAGGAGACATGGAGATGTACAGCTGTGTATCATCAGGAAACATGGAGATGTACAGCTGTGTATCATCAGGAAACATGGATATGTACAGCTGTGTATCATCAGAGACATGGAGATGTACAGCTGTGTATCATCAGGAGATGTACAGCTGTGTATCATCAGGAGACGTACAGCTGTGTATCATCAGGAGATGTACAGCTGTGTATCATCTGCATAACTGTGGAAGTTAATTCCATGTCTCCTGATGACACCGCCAAGAGGGAGCATGTACAGGTTAAAAAGGACTGGACCTAAAATGGAACCCTGGGGCACACCACATGTGATTTTATGGACCTGAGAGGAGCAGGTATCCAAACTTACCATGAAGGATCTGTCTGTTAAATAAGAAGTGAACCATTTGTGGACAGCACCAGAGAGGCCGAGGTGTTGTAGGCGTGATAAAAGAATGGTGTGGTCTACTGTGTCGAAGGCAGCGCTAAGATCCAGTAGAACCAACACGGTCACCTTTTTAGGCAAGGCAAGTTTTTTTATATAGCACAATTCATACACAAGGCAACTCAAAGTGCTGAACAAAACAAGCATTAAAATCATAAATAATCACAGAACATTAAAAAGGAAGATAAAAATATAAAATCCTTTTTAGAATCATAACTTAGTCTAAAATCATTTAAAATCTTTAAAAGAGCAGTCTCTGTGCTGTGGTTCACCCTAAAACCTGATTGAAATTTCTCTAAAATGTGTTGCTGATCTAAAAAGGCATTGAGCTGGGTAAAAAGAAGTTTTTCTAAAATGTCGCTTAAAAATGGCAAGTTGGATACTGGTCTGTATGTTACATGGTGGAAAGGAGGACAGACCCAAAATTCAATACTGCAAAAAACATAATTTGATAACCAAGAATCCAAAAATCAAAAACTGTATAAACACAGGAACTGAAGACGAACCAAGCACAAACAATCAATGGATTGACAACAAGAGGGAATTTAACTGAGAGACACAGGTGAAACAAATCAGGGCAGGGTAGGCAATCAACAGAACAGGAAGTAAAACTCTAAAAGACCCAGGGGAACAGAACCAAAAGTGACAACCATGACACTGTAGTGTCAGAAGGGGCCTCACCACAGCCGCTTTGAAGGCTGCAGGAAAGACCCCAGTCTGAAGAGGGCAATTCATCAGGTTTAAAAGCTCCTCTCTAAAAGATTCATAAAATGACTTAAAAGATGGAGTGGGGACTGGATCTAAAAGACAAAAGCCTCACTGAGGAGAAAACTTTATCAAACATTTCAGCATCAACCAGGACAAAACTGTCCAGTGTTTCCTCTGGTGAAGACAAACAATCAGATGTGTTAAAAACAGTTGTGCGGTTGGATAAAATGTTACATCTGATTGTATTTATCTTCCCCGTGAAGTGGACTGCTCCTCACAGAGGGAGTCTGTGGGGGTTAAAAGAGACATGCTAAAACCAGGGTTTAAAATGGTGTCGATGGTTGAAAATAGGATTTTTGGGTTATTTTTATTTTGGGTGATTAGTTTTGCAAAGTATTTGTTCTTATGATTTCTAATTGTGTAATTGTATGCTTTTTGATTGTTTTTATATAGTTCGTAGTTGATTGTTGTTTTATTTTTCCTCCACCTTCGTTCTGCCACCCTGCACTCTTGTTTCATTGATGGTCTCTGATGGTCCCTGACGGTCCCTGATGGTCCCTGGCGGTCCTTAATGGTCTCAGATGGTTCTTAATGGTCTCAGATGGTTCTTAATGGTCTCTGATGGTCCCTGATGGTCCTTGATGGTACCTGGAACCTCCTCAGCTCCTGCTTGGCGCTGGTGTAGAGCACGTTCTCTGACTCAGGGTTCTTGGCTGTGAGTTCAGACGCCGTGAGCCACTGGTCCAAACCAGAAAAGTCCTCCAGGAACTTAGACCAGAGGGACCAGGTCTCCTCGATCCTGAGGACCAAAGAGACCAGGGTGAAACCAGGGAGAGACCAGGGAGAGACCAGAGAGAGACCAGAGAGAGACCAGAGAGAGACCAGAGAGAGACCAGAGAGAGACCAGAGAGAGACCAGAGAGAGACCAGAGAGAGACCAGAGAGAGACCAGAAAGAGACCAGAGAGAGACCAGAGAAAGACCAGAGAGAGACCAGAGCGAGACCAGAGAGGGACCAGAAAGAGAGACCAGAGAGAGACCAGAGAGAGAGACCAGAACCAGAGAGAGAGACCAGAGAGAGACCAGAGAGAGACCAGAGAGAGACCAGAGAGAGACCAGAGAGAGACCAGAGAGAGACCAGAGAGAGACCAGAGAGAGAGACCAGAGAGAGAGACCAGAGAGAGACCAGAGAGAGAGACCTGGGGTCCGGGGGAGCTCACCTCAGACGCCGCTCCACAGACATGGCGCAGATGTTCCTCCATCGCTGGTCCAGGATCTTCATGGTTTGTGTGAACAAGTCGCTCTCTGAGTCGCTGCAGCAGGCGTCTGCATCGTGCAGCAACCCCTCACACAGAGAGAGGACCGAGGACACCAGGTCTGAGTGTCCCTCTATGGTCCTCTGGAGGACCTGTAGGGGAGGGGATACAGGGGTGAGAGGGGTGAGGAGAGGGGAGAGAGGGGAGAAAGGGGTGAGGAGAGGGGAGACAGGAGAGGGGAGAGAGGGGAGAAAGGGGTGAGGAGAGGGGAGACAGGGGTGAGGAGAAGGGAGAGGGGAGAGAGGGGTGAGGAGAGGAGAGAGTGGAGAGAGAGGGGAGAGGAGAGAGAGAGAGGAGGGAGAGGAGACAGGGGTGAGGAGAGGGGAGACGGATGGGAGTAAGTAAGTAATCTTTTTAGCGCTCTACAGTTGTTGT